AGCAGGGCCAGCAGGGGCAGGAGGCGCGTCCACAGGGCCATGGCGGGGCGTCGGCGGCCTGGGGACGGGCAGGGCTGATGCCGGTGCGGGCCAGGCCCCCGGGGACGCTCACCCGGCCTCACCCTCCGATGCGCTGAGGGAAGGCCCGCGTCCTAGAGACCCGGGGGCCCCGGGCCCGGCGGAGCCTCACCCCGGCCGAGGTCCCCTCACTGACCTGCTTGCTGACGGTCGGTGCGAATGCGGCCGGTCCGGAGGGCTGGGGGCTGCTGGGGGCCGCTGGGCGGCCTTTTTTATAGCCCCCCGACCTTCCTGGCTCATTAGCGCCCCGGGGGTGGCAGATGGCCCCGAGGCTGAGGCTGCAGTTTCTGGCTCATTTGCCCCGTGCTGGGTCCACGGAACCTGCCTGTGGTCGTCAGCACCTCTCGGGCCGAGGGGTCATTAGGATCTTAACGAGCGGCCTGATGGCCTGGCTGTGCCCACTCAGCTGCGGCAAATGCCCCCCAGGAGCAGAGCTTTGGTTTCCACATTTGTCCCGGGAGCTGGGGTGGCAGGAGGGGCTCTTCCCGCCCCAGCCCTAGACCTCTGCCCGCATCTCCCGTCTGCCCTCAAGGCCTCATGGGTGGTCTGGGCCGAAGGGGAGGGACAGCGAGGGACATCTCCTCTCTGCTTTCGGTCCCATCCCCGCCCGGCCCCAGTACAGCAGCTCCCCTGAGACCCCAGCTCCCCAGGGTGCTGCAGGGAGGGCTGGGCTTGGGAACCAGCAGCTGCAAGGCCCTCAGGTGACCCTGTTTCTCAACCTCAACGTGGGGACAGCAGCTCCGCTTCTGTGTTCTGGCCCCGGGACTCGTAGATGTGGCCCATCCACGTCCCACCCACCTGCCCTCTCGGCCCATCTTTCTGTGCTGACCCCTTTGAGGCCTGGCCCCCAAAACTCCAACATCCCCTCAACAGTCACATGGGCGGAGCCCCTGTGGTGCCCCAGCCCCCTCAACAGGCTTGGGGGAGGCCTGGACCCCCACCCTGCCCCCTGCTGCCTCTAAGCCTCTCTTGGTACCAGGGTCTTGGGGCCCTTCACCGCCGAGTCACCCGGAATTCAGTCCTTTATGTGAACCTTGGAGACCACCCGCCCACCGGCCCAGCTGTGAGCCCTGCCCCTGGCACCCAGCCCCAGGTGGGGCTCCCGTGGGCCTGTCTCCAGGCTGCCACAGAGACGGGCAGCTCAGCCAGGACCCCTCAGCCCTCTGGAGCTACTGGGGGCGCAGGCCGGCTGGAGCTCTGGGTGAGCAGGAGACGCAGGCCGGGGGAGGCTCGTGCTGGCCCGGGCTGCCCAGGAGGCCTCCCCGGAAGAGGCAGGAGAGACCTCTGAGCAAGGCTGGGAGGGAGTGGCCGGGCCTGTGGGTGCATGGACCGGACACCAGGCGGGCACGGGCTTCTTTCTTTTATTAAGATTGTAAAGGGGCAGCACAGCGCGGCGGGTACACAGCGTGGCGGGCAGTGTGTCCAGACAAGGACACCGCAGGCAGAGCTGAGAAGCACAGGGGGGCTGGTGAGGTGCCCCGGGCAGGGAGGGTCTCCGGCGAGCTCGCGTGGGCAGGGCCCGGGAGGCCGGGGAAGGGCCGGGGACTCAGAGGCCAGCCTCCCAGGGCCCCCGGGGTCGTGGGCCCCGCACCTAGCTGATGGCACTGAGTGCGTGGGCGAGGGCATGCATCTCGTCCTGGATGCCCTCCAGGGAGCGCCCGATGGCGCGGGGACTGTCCAGCACGTCGATGGCCTGAGTGTATGGGTCAAACTTCACGGAGAAGGGACGCTGGATGCGGGAGGCGTAGCTCCTGGGGACAGGGTGGCATGGACCCTCAGTCACCCGGCGGGGAC